GGTAAGACGGTACTGTAAATAAACAAATTAATGGGGCTACCCACTTGGCTGGATTTGAGCTACCCGACCTAAATGTGGAAAGCTGATTATGTAAGAGAATCATACAAAATCAATCTGGATTTTCTTTCTCAATGATGGAACGGTAATCTTAATGTAGGCATTCACAAAGGAAGAGGAAAAGAAATAGTAACAACAAATACATATACAGTACATTATTTGTGTCATAATAATTGTTATTTTTTTATTTTTTTTAAATTAAAAATTTAAAAATTATTTATATTACTTTCAAAAAAATGTAAAACTAAAATATTATTTTTTGTGATATAATAATTAATTTAAATAAATAATAATAAAATTAAAGTAAAAAAGTATTTATATATTTTAAAAAAATAAAAATATAAAAAAATCACAACGATGGCCACAACCTAGCACAGCACTTTTAAACGAAGTTCTTATTTGTAAAGAACTTTAAGGAATACAATTATTTTGGGAGCTTGGAGAAATTCACTTTAATTTCCCTGCTATTCGCATACTCCTTTCGGTCCTCATCTATGACCTAATCTTTCGATACTCACAAGATAAGAAAGGGAATTCAGTGGCAAACCCTCATAAATGCAAATTAATTACTTCTATCCCTACTTCACCAAATTTTATACCAAATCATCAAAGTAGGCGGAAATCAACATGTACCAAATTTGTGCCGAATTTTATACCAAATTTTATAGCGAATTGTAGATTCTCCTCATCTATTATAAAACCTTTACTCCATAGCTAGCCAAACAACAAAGAACTCGAACATATCCTCATGGAAGAACAAGGCGGAAACAATCTTTATCAAGGTAGTAACAGCTTACGAGCAATTAACAACAGCTTTTCCATATCAAGGGACGTCGTCGTCGATGAGAGGAACGTGTTTTCAAGATCGTTGAGAGCAGAGGATGACGAGGAAGCTCTCAAATGGGCGGCCATCGAGAGGCTCCCGACGTTCAGTAGGGTAAAGAAAGGTTTGTTGAAGACTGAGGACGGGCAGACGAATGAGGTTGATGTTTTGAAACTTGGATATAAGGAGAGGAAGAATTTGGTGGAACGGTTGGTGAGGGATACGGAGGAGGACAATGAGAAATTTTTGTTGAATCTCAAACAGCGTCTTGATAGGCAAGAAATCTTTTTCCCTACTGTTTCATTATGTAGAGTTTCTTCTTTAATAGGTGGGCAAGACAATATATCATTTCCTCCTCTCTATTTTCCTTGATACAAACACTGCTTAGTACAAATAAGCCTAGTAAATTTTCTATAAATTTATTAAAAATATTACCGAGGTTCTAAACTTTTAATTTCTTTTTGGTTGTAGAGGTTTAAGAATCCAATCCTAAATTTGTGATTAATGACATGTTTGATTGAGGTAAAAACCTTCCCTCTTGCTTTTCCCCTATGGCCAAACCTTCGGAATCTACCTTTTAAGTATGGAGGCAGGAACAACGTACGCTCAAATTGAATACAAGAATAAAATGCTCACAAGCTATTGGATATATAACCTAAAATTTAACATGTGACACCATATTACATTAGTAATCCATTAACTTAAAAGTTTGTGTGGCAATTTTGACATGGGTAGCAATGACATGGAAGCTTGCTCATCAACTTTTTTTTGCATAGTGGCTACTTCTTTTCTTAAATAAGTCATTTCGATTTAACATATTACTAGATTAACCATCAAATTTCTTCAAATTTACAAAATCATGTCATCATATCTAACTTTCCTTTCACCACCTCCACAAATCCAAGCAGTAGATGAGCACTGACTTGTATAAGCAAAATCAAACAAACAAGCTATATTCTTTAGATCTAACCCATTGTGCAAAGTTTTCAAGGAGGAAAAAGCAAAAAAGCTTTCAAAAATTGACGTTCTGGTGTTTTGATTTGGATCTTCTCCCACTTTTCATATTAGGAAATTTCCATTGCTTTACAACTCAATACCTTATAATTTTATTTTTTTAAAAAACGAATAGTATATAGTAGTCCTAATTAAAAAAAAAAATTAGAGTTTTAATTTTAAAACACTATTTTTTAATGAATATTTTTAAAAATTAATCATTAAATTTAATATTTTAATGATATAAATTATGTATATTAATTTTCAAGTTAATTTAACATTCATTTAGGGTTAATATTTGTTTTAATTGTTCTTATTTTTCAATTAATTAAATTTAAAGTTGATACAGCAACCAACTTCAAAAAAAGTTCACACACAAGCATAAAACATGTCACACAAATGTTAAGTTAACAGATTTATGATGTAATATGATATCACATGTTAAATTTTGATTTATTTGTTCAAATTAATTAGTTAGTGGGGTGATTTATCTTCGTACTTAGCTTAAGAGTGGACAATTTATTCTTGCATTTAGTTTGAGGGTGGATTTGTCCCTATCCTATACTTAAAGGGCAGGCCTAGGGCTCTAGGTAAAGTTAACACTTTTAGCAATTATTTTCCATGAGTAATGTTTTCTTCTTATCCTTTTCAAAAGGAAAGAGTTTTCCCTGCCTTTCGAATGTCAGACCCAGGGATGGAGCCAGA